TGAGCTGCCAGCCTCTGGTTAGCAGTCAAATGTACATTATTTCCTGTGGAATGTCAGAAATAATTATGGGAGAGAAAATCATTCTTTGAGTAGGAATGAATATTTCACTGATTGTGCCAATTCTAATTACAGCTAGAAGAATAGATATTTTGCCAAAATAGTGTTGTTATTGTGTCCATATTGGTTGGAAATAGGCATATGTGAGCGCTTTACTTTCACAATGTTGGGCTGCCCTAATGTCTGAAGTAAGCCTGATAATTTGGCTTTTATATTTGTGACTTTTCCTTGAGTATAGTAATAGAAAAAAGAAGAAAACAGTCTTTTCATGGAAGTAACCTATATTGTCTTATATTCCTCACTATCTAATATATACAGTGGGCATGGTCTGTTCAAGGTGACTAAACATGTACGTTTACATGCCCTCATTTTCCAAATTCCAGTTGTATGGGAGAAGTAACTTAAACTCATAGTAGATGTAGAAAGCCAAAAAGGTGCCATCTATGTACTCAAATTTTAAGGGCCCTTTGGAAGATATAATGCCATTTTTTAAATTCATTTTAAGCTTTCTTAAACTTCTTCATACATTTTATTTTGTAGTCTTCTGCTTTGTATTCTTCAATTTGTCCAAACACTCTAACTGAAAATTTCCAGTATCTCATTCTTTATAAGGAAATTAAAGTAATGATTTTTAAATTACTAGTTTTTTTTTTCTTTTTTCCATTCCTTAAATCATTTTTTCAACAAATAATTTTCAGCAACCAGCATGTATCAGGCTTGGCTGTAGCCCCTGAGGACACACACATTAGTGAGGAAAACAGATTTCTTGCCTCCTGGGGTTTACATTCCAGTAAGAAAGAGAGGTAATAAAAAGACACTTCAAATCTCCAATAGTTTGTCAACTATGTATATTTAGAGGGCGAGCAACTTCATGAATTATTTCTTTGCTGCTGTAATCAGTTTCTGCCATACCTGGGGAAAATGACTACACTGCCAATTGCTTCAATCTCAAATTATTTAACTGGAATATGAGAGTTCCTTGACAGAAAGGTTGTACAGAATGTCTTAGTCAAGTGTAAGTGGACATATTATGGGAAACTGCTGTGAATGACCCAAAAATTCCTTGTTTTCTAGATTTTTTTTCCTGTAATCTTATTCTGATTAGATGAAATTGTCCTTTTTTAAGTTTGCATATCATTCATACAATACAGTAGCCCCTCTTTATGAGTTTCCCCAGTGAACATAGTCCAATTCTTAACCCAAAGAAAGAGGAAATATAGGCCATAGCCAATACAGCTTTGTATAAATATAACCCTGAAGGAAGACTGGGCAATCTACTTCCATAGTGATATCACCTCGGACACCCAAGGAGGGGTCGCTATGAGTCGGAATCAACTCGACTGCAGTGAGTTTGGTTTTTTGGTTTTTGACAATTCATTGATAATTAACAGGGTAGGTGTGTCCTCTGTACAAATGCTATAGAAAATCCTACCTCCATGGAGTTGGATTGAAAGTACCAGGGCAAGTTGAATCTCACATACAAAGTGTCTTTCTTTCATGTAGCAAGGGCCCTAGAAAGGCATTGCTGAAAAAATCACAATGATTTGTAAATGAATAGGTAGCTCATGGGGTTCTATTTGCATAATGACAGTCACACAACTATGCAGATTGGCACCATTATACATTTTAGACAAGCTTTAATCATTCCTCCACATTTATTTTCCTTAACCTTGGTGTTGTAGGCTGAATAGCTGTCCCCAAAGATGTCCAACTACTAATACCCAAAAGCTGTGAGTATTTTACTTTGAAGGATAGCAGGTATTTTGCAGGTGTGATTAAGTTAAGGATCTTGACGTGAGTATATTACTTTGAATTACCCAGGTGTGACAATACAATCAAGAGTCTCTGTAACCAGAAGGCAGAAGAATCAGAGAGGGAAAAAAGTATAAAGATGGAAGCAGAGCTAAGAAAGGAGGAGAGAAGATGCTATACTTCTAGCTTTGAAGATGGAGAGAAGGGCCTTGAAACAAGAAACACAAGCAGCATCTAGAAGATGGAAAAGTCAAGGAAATGAATTCTTTCCTAGAGCGTCCAAAAAGGCCTGCAGGCCTGCCAATAACTTGATTTTAGCCCAGTGAAACTGATTTTGGAATTCTGAACTCTAGAACTGTGAGACAATAAATTTAAATTGTTTTAAGCCATAAAGTGTGTTATAACAGCAACAGGAAATTAATACACTTGGTCATATCCTGTTCTCAGCTGATGTCACCAAGTTTTGCCATTCTTCCCTGTTGAACTTCATTCTCCCTTCTATACCAAACAACAACTTCTACTTCATCGAGAAAATTGTGGTGATCAGACATAATATGACTGACTTCTTTTTATGCCCTTACATCTAACAGATGTCCATCTATGCCTACATCTTTTTTTGTTTCTTTTTTGTCAGAAAAGATGAGCTGCCTCTTTTCTCCATCCCTGTTCATGATTATATGTCATCCTCCCATTTCCTCACAGACTATGCATGGAATACTACTCAGCAATAAAAAGGAATAGACCATTGATACATACTACCCACTGCCATCAAGTTGATTCTGACTCATGGCAACCCTATAGGACAGAGTAGAACTGTTCCATAGGGTTTCCAAGGCTATAAATCTTTTATAGAAACAGACTGCCACATCTTTCTCCCACAGAGGGACTAGTGGGTTCAAACAGCCTACTTTTGCTTTAACCTCTTTGTCATCAGGGCTTGTATTGATAAATACAGTGTCTCAAAATGGATGTGTCTTGAAAGTCTTAGTCTATGTAAAAGAAGCCAGACCAAAAAAGCTCTCTACTGTTTGAATTTTTTTTTTTAATGTAAAATTTTAGAAAAAGTAAATGGATAGAGTCAAAAAGCAGAAGAATGGTTGCCAGGCACTAGGAGCAGGGAAATGTCATTGACTGAAATGGGGGCATTAAGGATATTTTCAGGGTGATTAAAATCTTTTATATTATATGTGGTAGTTTTCACAATACTGTTCACACTTATTAGAACTTAGCCTTGATATTGTACTCCTCACCAAGAGAACCAGTTGACCTCTGGTAGTACGTTGATTACACTGGACCACTTCTAACATTGAGGATTTGGTAGTGTTTTGTTCTCAAAAGAACTGAATCACCATATTTCTTTTAGCATCACCATTCCTGATTTATAAAATTCTTTCAATAGATAAACGTATCCCATACAACATCAGTCCCAGTCAGAGGGAACTTTTTGTGGTGTAAAAATTTGTGGTAGTGTGCTCAAGTCCACTGAGTTTATTTGTGTCAGCAAGCATCCCATTATCCATAAGTAGTTGGCTTGATAAAATTGTGGAATGGCCTGCTAAAGTCTCAGTTACAACACCAGCTGGGGGACAACCTCTGAGAAGTTGGAGTGCTCTCTCATAAAATTCAGTACATTTTTAAACATAGTAGTCAATATAGGAAGGTTGGGCAATCCTACTTCCATAGTGATACTGCCTCAGAAACCCAAGGAGGGGTCGCTATGAGTCAGGGCCGACTCGACGGCACATAACAACAAAAACAACAACAAGTCAATATATGATATTATTCCTAAAATAATAAGACTGCAATGGTTGGCAAACCAAGAGATACAGACGGAGTGGCTCATTTCATTATTAAACAGTAATTCACTGAAGAATTTTAGCTACCCATGTCCACAAGTTTGGGTTTGGCTGATTTAGGGTTCTTGGTGCTCAAGGACCCCCATTGAGTTCTCGAGGCAGTAGACCTTTACAGAAGTAGATTGTCCAGTCCTCCTTCCCTGGAGTGGCTGTGGGTTTGAGCCACCAGCCTTCAGGTTAGCAGTCAAATGCCTTAGGCATTGTGCCACCAGAGCTCGTTTTCTCACACTTTAGAGGGAGGGTTGGAAGTTTGATTTCATGGCACCAGTTCCAGGGGGAGGCTTTCTCTCTCTGCCAGCTCTGGGGAAGTTCCTTGTCATCATCTTTCAACATCTGTGAGTCCACATCTCAATTTTTTGGGCATGAATCTTCCCCTGGGCCTAGGAAGGTATCAGCACAAGGACCCCAAACACAAAGGATGTGCTCTGCTTCTGGTTCTTCTTTGTTGGTAATAAGTGATTCCTTGTTTGTTTCTCTCTCCTTTTATCTCTTGTAAGATAAAATGAGATATAGGCCACATGCCAGGGAACTCCCCTTACATCCCATCAGGGCTGTGACCTAATTAAGCATGTTGCATCCCACCCTAATCTTCTTATACTGATTGGATGATCACATCAGAGCACACCATGGTCAATGAATACATAATTACATAACAGCCAAATTACATTACACAACTACCAGACCTCTGTAATCAAGGACCAGCCAAATTGAATCATATTTCAGGGGGATACAATTCAATTCATGACACTTATACAACTGAAGGTAAGAAGGGCCAAGTTTAGAACCAAGAGGAACCCACTGGGGTATCTTATAAGACTTCCTTTAACAATAAATATCAGTTGCAGACATGGTGATTCCAACTCATAGCAACCCAAAGTGGATCATAGTAGAACTGTACTCCACAGGGTTTTCAATGGCTGGTTTTTCAGTAGTAGATAAGCAAGGCCTTTCTTGTTAGGTGCCTATGGGTGGACTAGAATCTCCAACCTTTTAGTTAGCAGCCAAGGCCATTAACTGCCCACTCGGTGACACCACCTTTAACACTAGCCCTAGTCAAAGGGAAGCTGCAGAAATCCAATAAAAGAAGGATCACCAAAACAACAAATGTAACAGGAAAGAGATTTCCTAACTCTTGAATGTCAAAGGAGCAACCAGAAGGAGAAAAACACACCTTCTTATTGACCCATGAGTTATTGTCCCTCTTTTACAAAGGAAATACAGGATGAAACATGAAGGCTGGACCCAGGGAAGAAGGGCAAAACAAAAATCTTACCATATTACAGACTCACAAGAAAGACAACTACTTACAAGTAGGTAGGGTCTCTGAGCCTACTATCAGTGGTAGATCCCAAGTCTACAGGGGAAATTCTTTGTAGCTACTTTTCTCAGAGCTCCCTTCACATCCTTGTTCCTCAGGCTATAGATAAGAGGGTTAAGCATGGGGGTCACCACTGAATAGAATACAGATACTAATTTTTCCAGCTCTTTGGAAGACTTTGGTGTCATGTAGGTGATAATTGCTGACCCATAAAAAAGGATGACCACCAGGAGGTGGGAGCCACAGGTTGAGAATGCCTTGAGCCTCCCAGCAGCTGACTTCATCCTGATCACAGTCACTATAATGTGGCCATATGATACCAAAATTAGAGAAAGAGGTATGAGGAGGATCACCACCCCCACAAGGAAAATGGCCATCTGTGTAGTGTGGGTGTCTGTGGATGCCAGGACCAACAGTGCAGGGGCCTCACAAAAGAAATGTGCAGTGCTATTTCTGCCTCGGTAAGGTAGCCTTAGTGTAAAGGTGGTGTCCACAATAGACACCAGAACACCACTGCTCCATGACCCTGTGGCCAACTGAA